TCTCCTTGTCCCCTCGGGGCGCGGGCTATACGTTCGGAGCGCAGGTCGTTCGGAAGTTCCTCGAAGTCAATAGCATGTCGCATATCCTCCGGGCCCATCAATTGTGTCAAGAGGGGTACCAGGTGCTCTATGACGACCGTTTGAGTACCGTATGGAGTGCTCCGAACTACTGCTATCGTTGCGGGAATCTTGCGAGTGTGCTAGAGGTCAGCGATACCGGCGAGCGGTTCTTCAATATATTCGATGCGGCTCCAGAGAATGACATCCATCGCGGGGAGCAGCAGGCGCAGCAGAACAAGGACGGGCAGAATCCTGTGATCGACTACTTTCTGTGATACCCCTTTTTTTCTATATCGGATTTCATCTTTGCTCTTTTTTCTCCTTTGTCTATTTATTCTCATGTGAGCGCTGCCTTTTGGAGTTTGGTCAAAACAATTCATTCATAGAGAGATGGTGTGGTATGTGTGGCACAGAATAAAAGAGGAGCAGTTATTCTTAGATCCATGGGCCAATTGAGCCTGATTCAGACAGATACTCTGCTCACTTCCGTAAGTGACGCCCAATCGCGCAAACTTGTTCTTTTGATAGGCAAGTCGACAACAGTCCCAAAGCTAGATAGGCCTCCTTGAGTCCAACGCTTGTAACTAGATAAAATATATGCTGTTCGTCTTATGTACTTCACCTAAAAAAAGTCTACCAATCCTTCGCAATGGTGAACGACCACTCAAACTGAAGATGGGTCTTGTTGTCGTCGTCGACGAATTTGGAAACTGCACTGTAACGGTCACGCGCCAGCATTCCCGAAGGCGCTTCTTCCTTCTGGACTGTATAGGTAAAGAGAAGGGCATTAGCTACGCTCAAGATACAATATAACAGAGTCCCAAGCTTACACTTCTTCTCGTAGAAACGCTTGCCCGTTGTGTTGGGAGCGTAGCTACCCTAGGACGAGTCAGCACACCAACTTCTCTAATAGCAAAAAATACCAGAACGTACAAGCATCTCCTGATCTTTGCTTACTCGGACACCCCTGCGCTTGACGACTTGTAGGTACTTGAGTCCACTAAGCACATCATGGTGGACCTCGAATTGGACCTTGATCCGGAAGGTCGCTCCCTCCTTGATGGTGAACGGGTTGTTCTTGAGGTTCTCGGCTGCGCCAGGCGCGGAGACATCAATCACAACATCATCGCGACCTTCGACTTCTAAGGCAAGAGACTTAATGATGCAGCGTCTGGGGTCGTTGGGGTCTCCAATGGGTTCGCCGGCGTTGAGGCCGAGGGAGGCCTTCCAGCGGTTCAGGGACTCGTCGTTCTTGTCTACAGGGATTGCCGTATGATTAGTTCAATTGCACGATAAGCGAAGATACATGTTGCTCATCGTTGAAAAATTGTAAAAGGAATTGAGGATTTCAGAGTCGGGGGGAGGTAAGGGGGCGTTTACCCCACGAGGCAAATGCAGTACAGTCTGACAGATTAAAGACAAAGAGGCCCACATACCGAGTTCATTGTATTCAGCAATTGTCTTCTTCTCACCAAGCTTGAATCCCTCCGTCTTTGAGGCAACGAGATCGTCGTCGCGGTCGGCCATTTTGCTGTGGTTTTGCGTACTGATATGGCGGGGTAGTCTGACACCGACAATTGGGGATGGGCGATAGCTTGGATAAGAGTTGCTAAAGATATGAAAGTGCTGCTGAGCTCAGGAGTTAGATTGGGTATCTGGAAAGTTGACAGAAATTGGCCATACCAGGGTAGAGTCCTAGATACAGGATAAAGGTAAAAAGGACATCCAAGGGCTGAAGATGACTCCTCTTGACGAGGAAGCTTTGTTGATGTAGCGGTGGATAACTGAGGGGATTCCCGATCAGGCATAGCGTGCAACCTCCTTTCCATGGACTGATCGTGATCCAACGACCACTCTTTTTGTTGGACATTATTTCCTCGGGATTTCATTGAGAGTAGTACTTGGAGAAACACATCATGTATTGCATAGGATGAGGGTAATGCATGCTATGGCTCTTAGACTGATGTAGCAAAGGTATGCTTGATAGATCATTCCTTAAAGCAAGGATGATGGGGCCCAGACTACGCCCAGACGGGTTTTCAACAGCTCGAAACATGGAACCAAAACTCCAGCTTCGAACCAGATTCTCATTGATGATTGGGAGGTCTTTGGGAGCGTTTGATTTGATCCTTGTCAGCCGCTGGGAACTCACCAAGGATTCCTTGACCAGGATGGGTTAGGAGGTTGCTGCCCATTCTGCCAGGCGACAAGGCATCAATACAGCTCAAAGGTAAACCCGGATACCGGGGCATGAATCCGCCGGGATGGCTGATCTGGTCTCTTTAAGGCAAGCGCATCGCAGATTGGGATTGCTTCATTGGGTAATCCAAGTGATAGTCGGTTTAGTGAGGATTAGTAAAATACGAGGGGTTGAAAGGTATGGTAACAGCACTCGACACGAGAGTGCCCCGTCCTTATGAGGACTAATTGCCGTGTGGACTATTCATTCATTATTTTCCTCCCCTACTTTATCAAGTCCTGGATTGATTTTTGTCGGTTATCGGAGGTTCGGTGTGTCGCAAACCAGTTCGTGTGCTCGCAGACTCTTCAAGCGATCGCGCTCCACTTAGTCGCGCGCTCTGGGTTGCTACTACACTTGGTGACGTCTTCAACGAACCCTCGACCTTTTCGGACAAAGACGCGCCTGCAACGTGGCCGACGTTCCGGCGTCGCAACCAACTTCAACCACCCCTCAGAGCGATAGTACTCCTCCCCGCGAACATCTCCCTCGCCCCTGTAACATTCAACACGGTTATTCATCATGGTGCGATCGCTGCCGAAGAAGAACAACCCGCACGTCCTACCCGACGCGGCACCTGCCTGTAAGTCCTTGCTCTCCCCGGAGCGCGCCGCTCGAATCCTCGCGCCTGCGATGGCCTTGCTTTGGGCATCTCGAGTATTCTGCGACTAACCAGCGATTTTCGTGGATGTTCATTAGACGAGGAACTTCTCACGCGCCGCCGGCTGGGAAAGACAAACCTTTCAGTGAAACCCACACAGATTGGCACTTCCAATGCGACCAAGCCAGAAAACCTTGGTCCATTCGAATATGCCCATTTGCGCGCTCCTCTGCCCAAGGACTTGAAGGGCTCCGAGATCTTCCCATCGCACTCTCCCCAACAGCACCCCGAGACCTACTTCCTGATGGTAAGTGTACTCGAAGTCAGCCGACGCTGAGCATATTCTAATCTCGATTGTCTTATCGCAACAGCGACGAAGCAAGGATGGGTTCGTTAGTGCGACTGGAATGTTCAAGATTGCTTTCCCGTGGGCCAAGCTGGACGAAGAACGGTCTGAACGCGAATACCTCAAGACACGCGATGAAACGAGCGAAGACGAAATTGCCGGGAATGTCTGGATTTCTCCGGTGCTAGGTGAGAATCTTGTCCGAGTCTTTATGCTATTTTTGCCTTCCTAACACGGAGATTATAGCTCTTGAGCTCGCGGCGGATTACAAGATGTACGACTGGGTCCGCGCCCTCCTTGACCCCGCAGATATCATTCAGAGTCCATCCAGCGCGAAAAAGCACATTACACCCCCTCCTAGGTTTGATCTGCCGCCGATTCAAGCCCCCGAGGCACTCGCACCTACATCCCGTGGCAGAAGCCGGCGATCCGCGTCCCCTAGCAAGAAGGCAGGGACTCCACGGAAGCCTAGACAAACCAGGGCGCAGAAGGAGGCATCTGCAGCCGCCACTAGCGCCGCCAACGCAACCCTTCAGAGCGCTTTGGATGACACAGTGTCCAATGCAGATGGCGAAGTAAACGGAGATGTATTGCCTAGCGTGGAAGAAGAGAAAGAAGACGTCCAAGTCGAAGTCGCGTCTACCAAGGAAACGAAATCGACGTCAAGGGCTAGGAAGACCGCCGCTAAACAGGAGGATTCCGATGATAAAGTCAAGATTAGTATCAAGTCTGATGACACTGAAGGTAGCGGTGTCCAGACTGCACAAACGACAATTTCCGTCGAGATGCCTATCGCACTACCAGAAGCTCCATCTGCCGCAGAGACTCAGGAAATGATTGCCAAGGCAAAGGAGATGGTCAAGGAGGCCGTCAAGTCACAGCAGGAACCTGCAGAGTCATCGGCTGCCGCTAAGAAACGCAAGACTGAAGAGGCAGAGCTTAGCGATGAAGAGGACGAAGAGACCAAGGCTATGCGAACAAAGAGGGCCAAGGTCCTCGAAGAGAAGCTGAAGCGCGAGCGTGTTCGTAACCGTGCCTTGGTTGGTGTGACTGCTGTTTTTGCGCTCGCGTAAGTGATCTGGATCCTTGGTTGCTCATGAGCATCATCTAACTGTCTTTGCAGAGCTTCAATTCCCTACTTTTTTTAGATTCCCGACCCTCATGCTTTTAGGACCTATCTGAGATAGCCATGCTGCCAGGCCGTGCCCTGCTTCTCAACTATATTTCGGACACTTCTCATCTCCCAACCCAATGAGCCTTCCCCCTGATTCCCACATATCCCACGATTCAGTTTGGCCGCTTTGTTCTGGATTATTCCCGTCTTCATGAAACCCTCCTCTCTTCCCCTGATGTCTGAGTTGAAAGCTTTGGTCGGCTTGATAACGCACCCTCCACAGAAAGATTGATGTACCGTGTCAGCTTTTTATCCCTTTATAATATCTCCTGCTTGGTGCCAGCGTCGCACTTTTCGAGATAGTGGCGGCTCGCTGGATTGGAGGTTAAGGGATCTGAAAGTATTTCATTCTTTCCCACATTCAATCTCTTGCCTCCTGTATCCCTGATATACATTCCTATAATTGTTTATCCTCTTTTACTTGTTCCAATTCCCCTTTCCTTTTACCATTTAGCCGAAGAGACTCGTACCTATCCGGAGAACATGTTATCGTTAGGGTTATTTAAGGACAGTCAATACGAATCAGTTAAAACCAACCCCATTTGATATGTCCTTAGAAGGAATGCTTACCTCAACAATCGCGCCGGTGGTGTACCGGTAACATAGTTGCCTTCCAAGCAACTGCACGGGGTTCGACTCCCCGTCGGCGCATCTCCAACACTTGATTTTTTTTCTTGGAGGTGGTCAAATTGTGCAGCTTTATGCCGCTTTTTGTTGACGACATGCAAACATGCAAAACTTTCGTCATCGCCAAGCATTTCCGATTGGCCTGGCCTCGAGCTCCGACGGTCTTTATTTCCTTCATCTCCCGCATTAATATAGTACAGAACGCCTCTGTTTTACGGCCTTTTCTTCAGTGCCAGTAATGTCATGTCTCTTCCTGGCTTAGATCTTACCCAGCCTTCCGCGGAGAGGGAATTTGTCGCCGCACCACCATCGCAAATCAACCTTTCAGCGGGATCAGAATGGAGGTTCGAGGCCGCGCACGGAACGACCGTCCGAGTTAAGGTGAGCTCCGCATTCATTTCCTCCATCGAAGCCTTTAATCGTCGTATTACGCTTTGTGCCTGCTGAACAAGACTGATCCGAAGGGCGGATTGAATCCAGCTCCAAACCGGCACAGCAGAGCTCTTCGGCACCGAACTCGCCCCCTCACAAACGTACACATTCTCCGGAACAAAAGCCGCAATCTACACATGGCACGGATGCACACTTGAAGTCAGCCCTGGCGATGCAGTCATCGGGCTGGACGGTATGCCCGCGGCCACCGCCGCGCACGGCGGCTTCGGCGCAGGAGGCTGTCAAAGCGAGTACGTGGCTGAGGAGACGCCGATGGTCGAATATGCGAATATACACTTTGCCCTCGAGACGTTACGGCATGAGGCCAAGGCGACGGGGAAGGACGGGCCGCGTGTGCTGATTCTCGGTCCTGAGGATGCGGGCAAGACGAGCCTGTCGAAGATCCTGACGGCGTACGCGGTCAAGGCTGGGCGACAGCCTGTTGTTGTGAATCTGGATCCGACGGAGGGGATGCTCAGTGTCCCCGGGACGCTTACGGCTACGACAATTCGGGCAATGCTGGATGTTGAGGAGGGGTGGGGAAGCAGTCCAATGTCTGGACCCAGTGCGGTGCCTGTCAAGCTGCCGCTGGTGTATTTCTACCCGATGGTAAATCCGCTGGAGGCCGAGGGGTCCGTGTATAGGCCGATTGTGTCGAGGTTGGCGCTTTCGGTCATGGGGAGGATGGCGGAGGATGAGGATGCGAGGGAGACTGGAATTATTGTTGATACACCGGGGATCTTGAGTCAAAGTCGGACCGGGGCTCTAGAGATGATCAACCATATTGTGACGGAGTTCTCAAGTATGCCACTGCTTTTTGAAGGCTTTCTATGGATACTGACAGGGTCTAGTTACGACGATTTTGGTTATAGGTTCAGAGCGGTTGTACAGTCTTATGATGAAGAGCTACGATAATAAGCCATCGTCAAGCGCATCCGCTGAGGCGTCGGACGAGCGAATTACGGTTGTGAAGCTTTCGAAATCCGGTGGGTGCGTCGATCGAGATGCAGCGTTCATGAAAGCAGTGCGAGAATCGCAGATCCGAACATATTTCTTTGGCAACCCGGTTCCCTCGACAGGGTCATCAGCGCTATCCCTATCCGCATCCACGAACGTCACCCTGTCACCGCACGCCCAGCAGCTAGACTTCAACACCTTGAACCTTTATAACTACAATACGCAATCTGCCGAAGACGAGCAGGAAGAAGATGACTACGACCCGGCGCAACTCACGACCGGGGACTCATTCCTGCCAGGGGGAGACAACGATGCCGGGTGGTCCACACACCGCCAGAGCGAGAACGCATCCTCTTTACTCCCCGGACTCAACCCCACAGCCAATGAAATGAGTCCCATTACCGCGGCCGGCAACGCGCTCGTGCCGATGAAAAAGGTGCTGGCCCCGGCTCCATCCGCATTGGCGAACACGCTTCTCGCGATAACGCATTGCACCCCGACCAGCAATCTTGCGGAGATCCGCGACGCGAGCACGATGGGGTTCCTGTACGTCGCTGATGTCGACAGCGAACGAGGCAAGGTCAGGGTCCTGGCGCCAGTGGGGGGCCGCGTGCCATCGCGGGCGATCATCTGGGGCAAGAAATGGCCAGCGGAAGTCGTCGGGCTTGTTGGATAAGGCTTTCTATGAACGCATTATTCGGGAAACAGGGATGCAATGTTAACTACGTAGGTTGTGACGCAGCAGCTTTAAATCTAAAATTAATATATGCCAATGAAGTGTCAGAATGATTAAAGCGGAGCATTAACCACTGGGACCGATGGGCCGATGGCGATGCTCTGGCGAACGAGCAGCTCCAGCAGGCTCCATAAACGGGGGGTTTAGAATTTAGCCTGGTTTAGTTTCAGGGGTGCAGAAAGGCAAAAGCCGGAATTCAAGGAAAGATAACCAGAAAGTCTAACTCCGAATCTCCGATAGTACTCTTGTTGTCACTCGAGGAGGATAGTTTCTTGTCCACGATCGACGCCCTACAAAACAATAAGTCGGTCCACCAGCTTTCTTTCCACTTTCCTTCACCCACACTTGCTCCTCCTCTTTCTCCAGCAGGTCACATCATGACCCTTTTCCTCCCTCCTCATCCTCCTACTCCCTACCTCCCCCTTCTCACCTCCCAAAGCCTGAAGAGAACCCCCCCCAATACCAATCCTACAACCGGGGGATAGGGGGAGATAATATCATGTTCTGCTACCGCTCCTACCGCCACACCCCTCGCCGCCGCCGCCAACGCCTCCTAACACTCGCTCTTCCTTTCCTCGCCTTCCTCACCCTCACGCTCCCCTTCTACCTAATCTACAAACCACCGCCCATCCTAATCTCCTATCTCGCCCACAAATACCCGGACATCCTCTGGCACGTCCCGCACCTAAAACCCGGCACGACATCGCCGATAATTGCCCTAACAATCGACGACGCACCCTCGGAGTTCACGCCCGAAATCCTCGACATCCTCAGAGAGAACGATGCGCACGCAACCTTCTTCCTAATTGGCGACCATATCCCCGGGCGGGAATGGGTTATGCGCGATGCGGTGGACCAGGGGAATGAGCTGGGGAATCATGCCATGTACGATGAGCCGAGCAAGGATCTTAGTGACGAGGAGCTGGCCGCACAGATCCAGGCGGTGCAGAGTCGCATTCAGAGGATTTATGCCATGGCGGGGCATCAGGCTGAGGCGCACGATGAGGTGAAGGTCGGTGACGTTGAGCAGAATTCGCTGTTTGGCGCGGCGGTGGAGGCGGGGCCCGTGGTTGGGTTGAAGAATGTTGGTGGGGGGAGTATTACTGCTGCTGGGAATGGGCAGGAGTCTGCGGAGGCGACGGCTACGACAACTCTAGAACCGGGGAAGTATTTCCGGCCGGGGTCGGGGTTCTTTACGGATAGGATGAGGGCGCTGGTGCAGCGTGAGGGGTTCCGGCTTGTGCTGGGTAGTGTCTATCCGCATGATCCGCAGATTAGTGTGCCGTGGGTGAATGCGGCCCATGTGTTGAGTATGGTTCGTCCTGGGAGCATCATCATTGTGCATGACAGACGGCCGTGGACGGCGCCCATGCTGCGGATTGTACTGCCGGAGCTGAAGAGGAGAGGATATAGGATTGGGACGGTGTCGGACCTGCTGAAGGAGGGGGCTTCCGTATAGACTTTTTTTCTTTCTTATTTACATTCGTTGCATTTTTAGTTCGGTGATATCCATGTATTATTGTTATATTGTACAGGTCTCTCTATCTATATAGAACGCTGGGATGCATGGTGTACAATACAGGACAGGAAGGGTAAGGGGGTAGTCAACCCAAATAGACTAACATGACATGAAATATATCAGCCATAACACCAGGCAATACTTCCAACAGAATCAGAACTCCTAGCGTGGAAAGAGAAAAAAAAAATCGAGTTGCATCAACCATAAACACCCAAAGAACTCCACACATGAAACAAGAACAATTCACTCATATCGTTTCCAATCCTCCAGGTTCTTCCGCAGGTCACCAGACCTGTCGTAGCCCCTGTCCTGATCTTCCAGCAACTCGTCCTGGCGGTCGCGGAACCGCTGCTCAGCATCGAAACGTGTCAGCGCCAGCCACTTGATGAACTGCAGATCGTCACGCCGGACTGCGTCGTTGAATTTCGCCCGAATGCGCGGCGAGTACAGCTGGCAGCTGGCCTCACAGCTGCTCGACTTGTCGCCAGGGAGTAGACGTGGAACTGTTGAGAACTCGCGTGCAATTGGGTGTCGTGCTTTGCAGAGAGGCCAAACAATGTCGTCGTAGCAGTCCTCGCAGACGGTGAACTCCGGAAGCTGCGGCATGTAGTGCCACGTGTTGAGGATCAGCCGGCTCCGGCGGCAATCTCGGAGGACCACCTTGCGTCGTGCATAAGCCAAGAACTCGGTTAGGTCGGGGGCCCTACCCTCCTGCTCTGCCCTGTTTGCGGCGAAGTCCAGCGCATCGATGTAGCGGATGAACCGAGGACTATCCACCACAAAGTCACATACGCGTTCTTGTGGGGATGTAAAGCGCTCAAAGGTCTCGCGATGCGCTGGCATGAGGAGTTGGATGTTTCGGACACACGCAGAGCAGACGTTGAATTGTGGCAGATACACACCGGTATCGGGGTCAACGATGCGGTACCAATACTGGTCGCTGATAATTCGGCCAGTGCATGATTTGCCACCAGGAGGCGACGCTGTGATATCGTCTAGAAGGTCGAGATTGTCCAGCTTCTTCTTGAGTGTTTGCATCCATGCTAGTCGAGTCCAGGGCTCACTCATGACGCAACAGATCGGCTCGTTGCGTGACTTGGGTGCGCTTAGCATGAGGCGGTCACGAAAGATGGTTTTGCGCATCTGCTTGACACAGGAGGGACAGATATCAAGGTGAGTCAAGCCGTCAATTGTGTGCCAGTCTTGGTAACCCGCAACAGGCACTGATCTGGGACACGGCGCCAAAGTAAGACTAGTATTTGGTGACGATGAGCGGCTTGATTCCGGAGACACATCCTGCTTTTGCACTTGCATGAGCGCGGTTTCGTGGTCAACCTTCACCAGAGCCTGGGAGGGGAACTCTAGCGGCTCTTCTGCGAA